TTTAAGAAGTGACTCTAAGTCACTTGGAATACAATTTGTTCTAACCAATATAATTAGAGTTCGGTCGATAAGTATAAATTCGGTATAAGTATAAGTTCGGTCGATAAAATAACAAGAATGACTAAACAATTTCGCTCTACTCGAGCCGAAACGACTGAAGAGAAGGAATATAACTTGTAAAGACGGTCTCAAATTTGGTTTTTGCGTAATAGAAAAAAAACTCGCTAATCGTCGCGACACACAGAAAGATATTTATATCCACCTATATATGTCAGAATCCAAAAAACTCTAAGCCAGCGTCGAAAGTGGCGCCGCCTATATCCTCTTATGTTTTTAAACAAATGTAAAATATTTATAATCTTTTAAATGTGCATTTGCTTTTAGTTAAATCTTATTTTTTCATAAAGTAATTTATTACCTCCAAAATGATTGTCTAGATGGTATTGATATATCATCAGGATATATTTCTCGATACATACGTACCGCAGCTGTACGATTAAAGTTAGCACGTATTAATATTCTTCGCATTTAATTAAATTTATCTTCCGCATCCATCGTAATAAATTCCTATTCTAAATTCCTATTTATATTTCATACACTGAGTATGATCTAATGACAACATAACGTCAATCTCTAATGCACGAGTCAGAAGTTGGTCATATCAAAGGGCCGAAAGTGAAAAAGTAGACGTTGCCCGCGATATTTCAAGCCGATAAATCTTGTATAATATGTAAAATATTTACATTAAATCATACATCGTTGTATTTTTTTCAAACAGCGCTGCAACTTTTATTACATCAAAATATCCACATTATTATAAAAAAATTATGTATACCTCTTCGTTTCTTAACACAGATAGCTTTTGTAAGCAACTATTATGCTCACAATAAAGTTCAGTTTGAACCATTGATATTTTATATATATTTGTTATGGTCTATCTCTTTTAGTTTAAAAGATAAAAGGGGGTGACCACTTTTGGTGGGACACCCTGTATATTGTTGCCCCCGTGCTTTTTCGCCGCCGATGCTGTGTGTTACAGCTGACGGACCGATCAATAATATCGATCGGCCATTAGAAAGTTGAAATCATATGACATTTGTTATGAATAAGAATCTTTTTGTCATTCGTTGTCAAGACGATATTAATTAACAGTTTAAAAGGTCTCTATCACAGTTTGTAAACAAACTGTCAGATGTCAGATTTTCGGGAGCTGCTCGGGCGGACGTACACGACAGCTCCGATCTTTAACAGCGTCTCTGGACTCTTTGTATTAGTTCTGTGTTCGTTATTAAAATGTTCTCTGTTTTGTTGAAGTGTTGTGTTGTGTTCTTTAATTTTGCGAGTTTCGTTGACGTGTTAATACCTCGTTCCGTGGGCGCCAACAATATATATATGGGGCATTCTTTCTCAACTTTACACTCATGCTGCCCATTTTCTATTTGATCTAAAAATTTTTGAAAAAATCTTAAAATTTACAGAAAAATATAAGCTTTCCAATGGCGCGTGGCAAAATTATCAAATTCAATTGGATTATACTTAAAATTTCAGAAAACCGAAAAAAAATAATAAAAACGGTAATTATTCAAGTGTAGTGATTATTCATTCGACGTTTTTCTCTTCCAATTAACACTTTCGAGTACTCTGTTTATCTGTGCACTGTCACATGAGTCTAAACTAAAATGGCGGATCCAATATGGCCGCCAAAAATTTAAAAAATTTAAGAAATTAACTGATTTTTATAAAACTTGGTATCAAGAGGTTTTTCGGGTTACTGTATAGGAGTCTAAAGTTATCTTTCAAAAATACAAAATGGCGGATCCAATATGGCCACCAAAACATTTTGAAAATTTTTAGAAATTAACGAATTTTTATAATACTTGGTATCAGGGACTTTTTTGGGTTGCTAATAACGAATCTGAAGTCGCATTTCGAAAATTCAAAATGGCGGATCTAATATGGCAACTAAGAATTTGAAAAATTTTTAAAAGTAAGGGAGTTTTATAAAATTTAAACAGAGAGTTTTACGGCCAGCTAAATACAAATCTTAAGTCGGATTTCGAAAACTGAAAATGTCAGATCTAATATGAAGACCAAAAATATTGAAAATTCAGGAAATTGACAGATTTTTATAAAACTTGATACTAGAAATACCTCTGATTCTGATGTCGCCTGAGTTCTTACCCCCTACTTTTTGAAATCTTGATATGAAAAAGTCGAACTATTATCAGCATTGAAATATCTCTTAATCACCATTTCTTTGTTGATTGGGACGAAACAGCATGGGTGTAAAGTTGAGAAAGAATGCCCCATTAGTATACTGTCATATAATGACAAAGAGCACCAAAAGACAAAAAAATTTTTGAAAAAACGATTTGATGTAGCTCCACCAGTTCCAGAGATTCTGAGAAATCACTGTTTCGTCCCAATCAACAAAGAAATGGTGATTAAGAGATATTCCAATGCTGGTAACAGTTCGACTTTTTCATATCAAGATTTCAAAAAGTAGGGGGTAAGAACTCAGGCGACATCAGAATCAGAGGTATCTTTAGTATCAAGTTTTATAAAAATCTGTCAATTTCCTAAATTTTCAATATTTTTGGTCTTCATATTAGATCTGACATTTTCAGTTTTCGAAATCCGACTTAAAATTTGTATTTAGCTGGCCGTAAAACTCTCTGTTCAAATTTTTTAAATTCTTAGTTGCCATATTAGATCCGCCATTTTGAATTTTCGAAATGCGACTTCAGATTCGTTATTAGCAACCCGAAAAAGTCCCTGATACCAAGTATTATAAAAATTCGTTAATTTCTAAAAAATTTCAAAATGTTTTGGTGGCCATATTGGATCCGCCATTTTGTATTTTCGAAAGATAACTTTAGACTCCTATACAGTAACCCGAAAAACCCCTTGATACCAAGTTTTATAAAAATCAGTTAATTTCTTAAATTTTTAAATTTTTAGCGGCCATATTAGATCCGCCATTTTAGTTTAGACTTATGTGACAGTGCACAAATAAACAGAGTACTCGAAAGTGTTAATTGGAAGAGAAAAACGTCGAATGAATAATTGCTACACTTGAATAATTACCGTTTTTATTATTTTTTTTCGGTTTTCTCAAATTTTAAGTATGATCCAATTGAATTTGATAATTTTGCCACGCGCCATTGGAAAGCTTACATTTTTCTGTAAATTTTAAGATTTTTTCAAAAATTTTTAGATCAAATAGAAAATGGGCAGCATGAGTGTAAAGTTGAGAAAGAATGCCCCATATATACAT